TTCTTTGCTGTGATGCAATCCATCTCGATTCTAAAAGTGAACCTTTTACCAGGGAGAAAAATGGCAAAGCTTTTTAAGTAAAAAAAAATAATTCAATTGTGCTCAGCTGACTTACGGTGTTGCTGGTGTAAGCAGGAGGCTCACAAGAAATAAATGCACAGCTTCTCTTTCCTTTTAATTTGCACAAGTAAGAGACATTTAAAATAAGTGTAGCTGCTTACTGAAGACTAAGTTTCTTCTTTGAAGCTTCTAAGCAATAGAAAATCTGGTTATGTTACTTCTGTCATGGAACTAATATTCGAGGAATGGTATGTCCTTATCCTGGAAATAGTTGTGAACATGTCTCATGACAAATTGTTCTGAATTATTTTGACAAAAGTCTTTCTAGTGGGGCAAAATAAAAGGAATTTTAAAGAAAAATAAAACACCCAAAAATATAGATTGCTGGTTTGGTTTTTTTTACTTCTAAAAATTAAATTCATGATCTTTACTCTTACATCTAGAAAAATAGCGTTTAGCATTTACATGGCGAAACCAAATCACTTCTGTTGTTCTTTCGTGCTGGCAGATTTTTTTACCATGTTATTTTGAACAGGGTTAAAAGATTAACCCACACACCACCCTTTTTTTTTTATGACCTAATTCAAAATTAGAGCAAATAGAATAAGATTATCCAGTCATGATTTTTATTTTTCCGCTATTACCATGCTGAAAATAACCTTCAGAAATGGCAATATGGAGGAATTAAGATGGCAAGTAATTTTCTAACCAGCTCTAATGAAGAGATTATCCACTAGCACTATTCATTGCAAACACTACTAAATACAATTATTGGAAACAGATTTGAAAACAAAACACGGCGATCACAAAATTAGGAGGTCTTACAAACCAGGAAAATATTTACTCTGGAAAGAACACTTGTACAATTAGGAAGAGAAGGATTATGAGCTGTATAATGGTTATATAGCTGCCTGATTGCAAACTACATAGATCATATTCTTCTAAAAAATGTGCAAGCCAAAGGGCAAAGACATTTACAAAATAAGGCATATACATAAGCCAACTTTATATCCCAATTCCAAAGATTTGATCATTTAGTAACTTCAGTAAGAATACCAAGGAACACCTAAATTACTCCCTCAGAAAACCAAAATAAAAACAAATTAAAAAATTGCAAATATACTTAGCTTGGTGAAATATTTGAGGTATAGAATTTAAACACGATAGTATTAGGCAACAATTAGAATGAAAGTCTTAAAATGAGAGATATCTGAAACAGCAAACAATTCTAAGACTAAAAGTATCTGCCTAGAATACACGAAAAGACTAAGTGGGCTCTTAGATTCTGACAGAAAAAAAAAATCTTGAACAAATGAAATGTGTATATTGTATTACAGCAATACAGGAAAAACAGCTATTTAGGCCACAATGTATCCAGTTTCCTTCTGCCTTGTGTGAGTACAAAATTCTTGCTCCTTCCCTCTTCCTTCCCTCTCCTCTTCCCTTTCTTTTCTCTAGTTCTTTCTCTCTTTCATAGGAGCTCTCGGAAGCTGGTAAATACTTGCTGTTAGAACACAGCTCCTGCGCACATAGGAGCTAAAAGGCAAAATCACAACACAGCAAAATGAAAATTTTCATTATCTCAAAACTATAGTAATTCACTTCATTTTCACCTTATTTTATATGACATTTTAAGAACACAAATAAATATAGTAAGTATTAAAAAAACTTTTTTTTTTTTTTTTTCATTTTCTTGTGGTAAACCAGTATTAGCTTCCTTTTAACATTTGAAAGGTTACTTAATAATAGCTTCACGGGTCTCATTACCTTTTGGCCTGGACTGGAGCATGCTGCAAGTATATTTGAAGAGAATAACACGCTTTTTGAATTGTATCAGAATGTCATTAAAGAAGTTTATGAAAAAGAACATTTTCCTTTGCTATATGCCTTCAGGTACAACACAATTTCATGTTCTTAAAGGATGGATTCTGTTCATCAGTGAAAAAGAACATGTTGCTTCCTCTGTCCAACATGCATTTTTCAGGACTAATACTTCACTGCTATTATTAGACAACTGCTGTAATTGAAAACATACTCAGCTGTCTATTATAATAACTTACATGAACTGGAGATGTGATGCTTCTTACGTAGCTAAGAGTAACTTTTGTAAATGACTAATCCATGTCAACAGCTTCTAATTTTCTTCATCCTAGTTGCCAGTTTTGTCAGCAGTGCAGAATAAAAACACTGGGAAGGGGGGGGGGGGAGAAGAAGAGAATAAAGTAGCCTTCTAGGTTACTAACTTTTATTTCTAATTATATAAATTTTGTAACACTAGGGGTTCCTGTAGATAGCATGTTTGTATAGAACATCATACAACCACCAATCTGGCTAGTTTAAGACAATGTCAGAGGAAAACAGGTCTGTCTGAGCTCTGTACCCTAAGATTTCCTTCTGAATAGGCTGATCAACTGATTCTTTAGTACAACAGAAAAAAGAAGAGGCCATTTTTACACCATTATCTTTTAATTTAAAATACTGTCCAGGATGTGAAAAATCCAAGATCACTATCACTGTGAACCTGAAGCAGTTCAAACTTCTGTGTTCACAGCCCAGAGTGCCATAGCCGTAATTCTTGTTAAGCACTTCCTAACAATCCCAGTCAAATATCCCACCTTCCTCCTAACCCTCTGATTTTATTTAGTTCTTCATCACCCTCAAAATTCCTCTCATACAATCAAGAAGCCATCACACAAATTCTTCTGCAATCCTAATCTTTCTAAACCATCTCCCATCATATTAGAAAACCCTTTCTACTCAAGAATCCTGTATTTCTGTGCCATCAATATAAACTCAAACTGAATACCTCTTGGATGCAGCTCCTCAACAACTCCATTTCTGCTTGCCCAGATATTGCTGTTATCACTCTACCATTACAACTCCTGATGTTGCTGCACATTGCTGCTTTCGTCCTACATGACTTCCTTTCTCACAGCACAGGCTTTTCCACTGGCCAGCAATATACAGCACTCCCTATCCCTGAACAGCTGTGGCTCTCCAGATGTTAAAGCAGCCTCATCTGATGGTCTGACAGGGATTTAACACAGGTCTGCACTTACTAAAATACACCTAGAGAGCACCCTAAGGGCAGAAGCAAAAAAAAAAAAAAAAAAAAAAAAAATGCTTGTGAGAAAACAGGATGTATGGAATACATATTATTAGCAAGTAATTACAAAACTGCATAGCAAGCAATATGCAGGGTCAGTTTCTGTTCTAACACTTGTTTTGGTTAAATAGTCTCCTCTTTCATCTTCCTTCTTTCTCCCTCAGCATGGTTGCTAAATGTAGAGCTTCTGCTTAAGCCTGGCAGATACAACCTATTCAGAAGTGATTATTCTTTCCTTATCTTTTCTCTTTGTCTATTATTCCTTGCCATCCTCTCTCCCACAGATTACCCTTATACATACTGTCCTCTCAGTAGCTGTGTTTACCCTCAGTCAGCAGGTTGGATTTGTAGAAGATCACAAACCATCACAAAACATTAGATTCATTTAATATAACTTTATAAGGTACAGTTAAGTCTTGCAGGATTTGAAGCAAGTGGATTTCGTCACATTACATACACTGCACACAAACCACAGTCACTTCAAAACTACAAGCTTATTTTAGATCCTAACCCCCCTCCAAGACTGTTTAACAATTCATTTCCATTTGATTCTTGAAACAGTCCATAATCAAAATTACATGCACTTTTAACATTACTTTTTAAACAACCAGAGCTTAAGTGGTAAGAGAAAAAACTGTTGCACAGCCAGAAAATGTTCTTGTTCACAAAAACCCTGCTTGCTTTTTTGTTCAAAATGCTTTCACTATTCAAGTAAACCTTACACACTCCTTAACCTGTTGCAGGCAGGGAATGTTCTACCCCATTGCAATCCCTAATAACAAAGTGCATTTTGTTGCAAAATAACTTGCCACCATAGTTGACAGTATCTTAAAAAAAAGACTAGACAGTATTAACTTACTTTTTTCCTTCCTTATCTAAAATATACTGCATTAAGTTAAAGAGGAAAAGACAACACAATGCATGTTAATTACTTCTAATAATTGCTAATTCCCTGCCATGAAGAAATTGTTTTGAGCTGTGAAAGAATATGAACTCCAACTATACATGACCTCAATGTTTACAATTATATATAACTATAGATGAATGACAGAGTTTGGGGCAGGAGGAACATTTAACCTTACAACACGGAATTGTTTCTGTCTCTGGTTTTCAAACAAGATGGCTCTACACTGGTTGTCAATAAATGGATACAAAGTCCAGTCATGAATTGAAAACAGAAGGGCGGAGGGAAGGAAGGACAACACTGAAAAAGACAACTTACTATACAATGCCAACACGATTGCTACTTCACTAGTAAGAAACAATCTCAGTAAGTTTTCATAATACTACACACACATGCCTAACCAAACAATAAACTAAAACCAGTAATAAACTTGTTTCAGTTTATTACTCAAGATCCCCTGTTAGGCTTTTCAAATGCTAGCGGCTTTGTACCATATTTTTGGAAAACATGCAAAACATGCACAGTGCCAATTTCAGGTACATTTCAGCCTTCTGTACACATGGTAAATATTCCTGCTGAATTATCTATGTAGCAACTTCTGAGAAACTGCATTAAAACCCCTTTTAAAGTATAACTTCAGTTTTTTTCAAACTTTTCCATCAGAGGCATAGAATTACAGAGATTCTCTGCCTATAAACACACCCAGTAGTAGCCCATCCTGGTTTGTTCACTGTACATTGCCTTAGAAACTTCTGTACTCCCAGAAAATGACTGTTCCCAGGAAGTCCAAGGACCCTAATACAAAAAAAATCATTCATAAAACTTTGAAATGTGCTACCTAGTTTGCATATTATCCTCTTCCCTCCACCCCAATTTATGTATTTTCCACCAGGAAACTTGGTCAGAAAGATGCATGTCCAAAGATGTCTGTTCCCCTACATCGATATGAATGCAGGGTTCAACTTCATTTTTTCTTTCATAATTTGTTAGAAAAGTTGTTTTTTTTAGATACTTTGGTCTTCTGGTCACCAAGTGGGAGACAGTATCTACACATTTATATTTGAACATTTATACGTATAACAACGTTCAACTCACTGAATTGGTAAAGGAAATTATTTTTTTCTTATGTTTGGAAAGAAAAGGAGACAAAAAACATGCATGACTGGATTTATTTTAATCTAGTGGAGAGGCAGAGCTACCATGAGATAGACCTTTTGTCTCAGCTCATTAAAATATCTCTGCCAAAGCTTTAGAAGTTTAGGATCAAATTCAATTGCACCACATAGTGTTCATTTACCAGCTACAGTAGAAATATATCTTTGTAAAAACCAAACATGATGCACTGCTTTCTTAGACTGTCTGAATATTGGCACACACCTAAATGCTTATGCCTCCACATAAATCTGCTAATACAAACTTCTATTTAATTTACTAAACCAATAACAGAGCTAAAAATGGAACAAAGGATACTTGTTAACTTCTCACTACAGTAAAACCCAAGGAAACTAGCTAATTTCAGAAAATGTTTTTGAGAGTCACACTTGTCCAGAATTAAAAAATGCAGCTCTGCTGCTCCTAGGGACTTTATAAAAATTGGATTATCGTATATTAGACAGTATTTATGCTGTAACAAATCTTCAGCAAAAAAAAAAAAAAAAAAAAAGTTTAATCTTTATTCTTTGGCTTTGTCCAAAACCACTAATGCCAAGTTTCACTCTAAAAATTCTGTAGCTATGTAGTTACCCTGAGGGATGCAGGGGAATCATTGCACAAACTTGTGAAATCTGTGCAGAGGACTTTGTACAGTTCTGAGGAAGTCATAATGGCTTTTATTATGGAACTCAGTGACATGTTCTAATGATTTTGTTATTTTTTTATCATGGTTGTGTTTAAATTTAGTCAAGAGTTTAGCTAGGAGTTTAGCTGGAGGAACATACTGACCATACTGTGCAAGAATAAAGATCCAGGTTTAGTAGTCACTATAGCCATAGTTTCTAACTGTCAGGTACTTGACTAAGCTACCTCAACTCACAAACAGAACAGGATCTTTAAAGAAAGGTGGTCTTGCACAAACAGGGAAAGTATAGTCCATTGAATCTAAATTAAATAATGTATTTTATTATATTTCCTGGATGTGATGAAGTCAGAAAAAGCAGACAGCTATGTACATTCTCACCCTTTGTCAGGTCTTTCAAGAAGCAACAATCACCCAGCTAAATATATTTAAAAAATGAAAACGGGAAAAGGTTTACTATATTTCCACCAACTTCAAACAGCTTTAGTGACAGCACTACCCCAGAAGATATTGGTGACAAATGTCAGTGACAAGAATGCCACCTACTGAGTGGAGCTTTGTGCTTCATGAAACAGGCTTTCATCAGAGCTCTGTAGCTCAAGAGCACAGTCTAACCCTACCTCATTTCATGACCACATAACAAGATGGCTAGTCTCTGGATGGCACATCTTACTTAATGAGGATATATAACCATCTTTAATATTAAAAGTCTTGTTAATAATTTTTTTTTTTAAAATTGCATTGGTCTAATTTTTCCAGATAAGGGCATAAATGTTGGCCTAGAAATGAAATGCCAGTGAAAAACAGATTACAGAGTCAGGCTGTCAAATGTGGTCATTAATGTAACACTCATTCCCTACTATGTAGCAGCCACCGGGCTAAGTGAGACATGCAACATTTTTGAAATAGTGCTACAAGGATTCATTTTGTAACACAGCTTTTTTGGAAATAGTTGCCTTATCAGGCTTGCAAGATAGAAATGTTTCATACTTAAGAACGCAGAAAAATATTTTAAACTGTATGAAGAGGTAGTAAGCTCTTCACGGGCTAGATCTGTTGTCACTGATCTCTTACAGTGAAGTATAATACTGACTCTTCTTAATTAATGAGGATACAGCTAGAAGTGATCCATAAAGAAAATTTTAAAATGAGCAAATGGTAACAAAAGCTTTTGGCTTACTACAAAATGGGAACAACCTAAGCAGGAGTAGTAAAAAATATTCATAAGAATTACAAATCATTCATTTTTGAACAAAATAAAACTATGGCAAAAGTGTTAATTCAATTCTTATGTTAATTCAAAGTTATGCTGTACCTAAGAAGTCAGTCTATTAGTAAAACATGGCCTTTCTATTTGTCACTTATAAACCCACAGCTATAAAAATGTATCTGAGTTGTAGACTTCTCTAAGGATACAGAAAAACTGGAATCCTGAAGAGCAAACGAAACGCTGAAAGCTCCAGAAAGCATTAACTAATGAGGAAGGCTTAAAAGAATGAAATGCATTTGAAAAAAAAACATGGAAAAATATAGAGGAAGAACAAAGATATCCTAGAAGAGCAAAGACCTGGAAAATTTTAGGTAGAATGTCTGGACAGACATTTTAAACATATACAATTCTGCCTCAAATAATTCATCTATGTCTTGAACATCTTTCTGGCCTTACCAGCATGTAAGCATACATCAAAAGAAAATCTAGGAACCTTTCAATCCTGCAGTATCACTGTGAGCAGTCATTCATCTTACAGAACCCAGGGTGAAATGGTTCAGATGTGCTTAGTAGGTGGAGCTAGTTGTCTTAGGAAATAAAAAATGAAAAAAAATCAGGGCTTCACAGCACTGGGACTATATGCTTCCTTCTAGGTAGCCCTAATATCTGACTGCATCAGTATTTACAAGTGGCGTTTCCATTTTACAAATGTTTTATAAAAACAAGTATCTGCTCTTTAGCTTCTGCTAAGAAAATTCTAGTTCAAAGCATAAAATAGGAAATAAGGCTACATTATTTTCTCATATATTTTGTTACAACACACTGAACCTTATTCCTCAAGGTATGTCTCCCTGCACTACCTAAGCTGGTAGCATGATTACCCTGATCATGTAGACAAACATTCTAGGCTGAGTGTCGGCAAGCTCATTTATTTATCTCTGCTTGACTCTTCTGGGTGGGTACAAAATTGTAAGGCCATGCACCCACAAAGCAATCAGAATGTCTGAGCTCTGGAAATTCAGTTCTACAACTTGTTGCATGATGAGTGGGGAACACACATATAAAACCTGACTGAAGCATTAAAGAGTGGCTTAGAGACCTTGTGACCCTGAGAATCACAATCCTTCTATCTCTTTTCCATCTGAAGCTGTAATTGTTGCAGCCTTTGAAGAGGTTGAGCTGAACAAGACTGAAAGGGACCACTGGAAGGGTCAGTGCATTCAGTTCCACCCTTATTGCCAGCAACCAAGTGACAGATGTCTCGCTCAGGAAGGTTGACAGAATTGTGTATTACACATGGCACTACAAAGTTTTTCTTGTAATCTGTAACAATCAAACTGTAGTAAAATGAAAACAATATAGCTGTAAAATCACATGCAGACAAGAAAGAAAACCAACAGCATGACCAAACTTTTGGGCTCCTGCAACATTGGAAAGTTAGATAAATAAAGATGCAAATGAAGGAAATGCAATTCCTTCTGCCCTAATCTTTCTGGTAGTTTAAGGCTGAGGGACCACTAAGCACTTCAGTATTTCAATTACAATGGCACTGCTAATCACCTTAACACTTTGCCTGTGTGCAGCCAATGTTTTACTAGAAGACAAAAAATTATGTCAAAAAAAGTTAATTCACAAACCATAGAGAGAAAATTATTCTCACTGACTTGAATGGAAACAAAAAAAGGCCCTGAAGCATGGCATTAAGGCATAATTTCGCAGCTTCAGAAACCGATTGTTCTGTTGTACCATCCCATCAATAAATACAGCAATTGACATCTAAAAATATCTTAAGAGTTCTTCTTATCTCCTGTGTGCTTGGTTGGCTTTTCCAGAATTTCACTCCTCATTGCTGTTTAAAAGCCTTTTTTATAGTGCCTCATCTAAATTTATGGATGACCAACACCTATCTTCTTCACTTTATTCTCTTGAAGCATAACACATCATCTTTCTTGCCTTTGTAACTAACCCATGTGGCGAATAGCAAAATCCAGAAAGCAGATGGCTCTCCTTCCCCCCTAGCTGCTTGGCTGTAAGAAGACCCATATGATTGGTTAAAGAGGATAAACTCCCTTTTGACTCAAAAGATTACTCAGATCAGCAGGTGTATTGCATTATTTAATTGCCTTAATATACATGCTCATTTTCCCTTTTGCAACCATGAAAACATATACTAAAACAATAATAGGGTGAAAAGCTCTTGTTTGGTGACATCCAGCACTGGGAGGGGTTTCATTTTCTGAGGGCTTATAGGCTCAACTATAGCAACTGTTGTGAATCTCAGCTGACAGTTTAATTAAATTACATTTAAGTCTAATTCACTACAAGTAATTTGTTACTAATAGTGGGTTTAGCAGTTGTGCATGTACATCATTGCAAAAGCTTTTAAATTACTGGATTTACTCAAGTCTTTAGATTCTTTTTTAATAGTCAAATCAAAATGGATTATAATCTGTTTATCCTCTTTGCCAAGGTGCCTGCAGAACAAGAAAAATAAAGTCAGTCATTTCTGTGTGAAACACATAGTGCATGACATTCCTGTAAATGGTACAAAAATATGTAAGTGAATCCATGTTTCGAGCACAATATAAAGGTGTGAAACAGGAAACTGCAATTTCTGAGTCAAGCGCATTACCTAAGAAAACACTTAAGCATATTCTGAAGCTTTTACTTTCCAGGAAAAAAAAATTAGGTAAGTTTTAGTAATGTGGCAAACATTTTAGCTCCAAGGTAAACAAATCCCAAACAAACATACAAAGGTTAAAAAAGGTTATGAGAACTGTATATGCGAAACATTGTGTTGTGTACTTAATAACCCCATGGATACATGCCTGAGTGTTTACACCTTATCTCACATCAAGAACAAAGTGATCGTAATGCATTATTACAAAGCCATAGAAAAAAGACTCGTTTGGAGTAGGAAGGGTCAGCTATAGGCAGCTAATTTACGTTTGTTCAAAACCCTGGACATCTACATACGTATGTATCATGCACCACCATCAAATATAAAAGTTGGCAAACATTTGCTTATCTGCTTCTGTATATGCCTAGATAGAAAGCTAAATTAATTAAAAAAAAAAGTACAAGAAGTTAACTGTGTTCTTCAGACTTTGAAGGATTCAAGTCTACTTGCACCTCAGTAACCAAAGTTCACCCTTCCCAGTAAGCACACATCAGGTCCTTAGGCATATAATTAACTATCCATTTCCATAGTTACTGTGCCTCCACCACAGTATGCCTCCTACAACTCAAAGTTATTAAAATAAAGTCTTCATCACTTGAAACAGGCTTAAAATAAGTAAAAGGCAAACAAAAAAAATCAACTGTGTAATTCCCAATCTCAACCAAACCTAAATACTACTGTTGAAATGTTTGAGACAAATATTTAAGACAGCTCAAATAAAATTTAAATCAGCATTCTGACTTACTATGCATCTAGGAAACTATGCTCCATCATGAATTAAAAGTTCTCCTTGGATGTTCATCGAGTTTCATTATGTTAGTAAAAAGACATAGTCACCCTGAATAAACCTAAACGGTTTGTCTATTTTGAGAAGATTTCCTTGTGTTTGAATGCAGCTTTGAAGAATCAAGTAAGCTAACATTACACTGATCATCACTGATGAGCCGAAGTAAAGCAAAGCAAATTGAGGTCATCAGTCTGTCAGGTAGCTTGACAGTCTTGAAATGCACACACTAAGATTCTATAGTACAAACCACTTAACCCTAAAATGTTCATCTCACAGATTACACTTCAATTTTATGAGCTTTTTTTCATAAAGGTTGCCTTTAGGATTTATTTCCACTTTAAATAATCACAAGGTTTGCATAAGCCTTATGTTTTTTGAGATGAACTCGACACTAAATATAGTCTCTCTCTTTTGAGGAGAATGGAAGAACCAGAGTTGTGATCAAAATATGCTTTTCTCTAATTAGAACAATAAATCACGATATGACTGCAGTTTGTTGGGGTTTATTTTTTATTTTTAACAAGTACAGGCGTTTGTATGCCAGCAAATACAACTAAAGACAGGGTTTCTTTTTCTTTTGACTATCTGCTAATTAGAAAGTGGATGAATTCAAGTATTACTGCCATACAACCTCATTACTCACCACCTTGAAAATTTTGCTTTTACAGCATAAACATTCTTTCTTAAAATAGGAGAATACCTACCATTATAAGTACTGATATTACTATAACAATTTTTTTATTCCTTTTAACAGAGTAACACTTTTTTGGACACATTGTACGTAGAACTTTCTATTGATTCTAGCTATGTTCTCAGCTAAGTGAACCACTAAGGAGACAAACACATTTGGTGTCTGAAACAAAGCTGGAATATTGACTTGGTGCATAGTGTTTATTGCAGAAACAAAATGGCTGTGGGCATTCTTAACACTTATATAAGGTTACAAAAAAAAAACAAACATAAAAATATCTGGAAGCACAGGACCCATTTTCCTAAATCTATGCAAGACCTAACAGGTGTGCATCAGGACTATAGATGACATTTTTAAAAGACATTTAAGGCAGTGTGCACAGCCTTTTTCCTAGCCTACACAGGCAGGACCTAAGCAGCATTATCAAATGTAATCATTAAAAAATAAGTTAAAGACAAACAAATCAACCAGAAAAGCAACCCAAAACTCAAATAATTTAGTTCGAAAGTCAAGTTTTATTATTAAAAAGGTACAAGTAAAGGCCAATGGTATTTGTTTTCCTATTTCCAAAACAGAAAGAGGTATAAGGACTTTGTGCCTATGATATTTCTCACAACTGTAGGGCAAGGGCTCTTTTAAGGGATAGATTTTGGAGGCAGGTAAGATGCATAAGGAGAATAACTTAAAATTCAAATGTGATTGTATGACACCTACAGTTAGGGTTTTAAAAACCACCTCTAACTTGCTAAAAAGGTGAAGTATTGAAAATTCAAATGAGGGAACTGTCAGGAAAAAAAAAGAGGCCTACCTACAGACAAGAGAGACAGGACTTGCAACACACGAAGCTGCAACTAACCATTGCCTTCCTACGGAACTGTGAAGCAGTACAAAACTTCAAGTCAGTATGTCACCTTGTAAGCTTGACACAGCTCTTTCCATAGCTGCTTCTGCAACTAGTATTTCAGCAATCTTGATGCCCAACGGTGAGTTACCTGCATAAAAAAAAAAAAAAAAAAAAGTGAAAGTTGATGAGCGAAGTTCTACCTCTTCCAGTTACAACCGCGCAGACAGAACTGGACCATGTGTCTGTGCAGGAAGATTTTGCTTTGTCTCAAGAGCACTGGGTTGATTTTTGAGCTTCAGATCTTCGTAAATGCTTAACCACCACCACCCCTCCCCCCCAAAAAAACCAAACCAAACCAAAACAAAAAACAACAAACAAACCACCATGCAAAACAACCCAGAATTAATTATTTCTGCACCCAGCAGCCCTTTTAAGAGATGGGTTTACTCTTTCCTCACAGTTGCCGGCTTATAGCTCCAGTTACCAGGGATAATACTATCCTTGAAAGTTTCCACACAGGCACACGAAAGCTTTGAGAAGGAACACTGTCTGAAAACGTCAAAACTTGAGCAACGCCCCAGTATGTCCCGTAAGCAGCAGCAAACGAAAACTGAAATGAGAAGTCCCCTTCCAGGAGAGACTCCATGCAGAGAAATAGGCTTTGTTTTTAGAAAAGAACCACAACACAAGCAACCAGAGGGCCTTCCCCCCCACACACTACCAGCGCCACTCCCGGCACACACACCCGCCCCACGACAGCCCGGCTCCCCTCTGCTCCCGCCGCCCCGGCGAAACGCGCTTGCGCCGCCAATTGCCACACAGGACCGCGGCTGCTCTGGCCCAGCCATGTCCGCTTCTTCTTCCTCCTCCTCCTCCGCAGCCGCGCTGCGGCCAGTCACTCACCTGATCTTTGACATGGACGGCCTTCTCCTGGGTGTGTAGCTTTTGCCCCTCTTCCCCCCCCCCCCCCCCCGCCTGGCCAGTGGCTGCGCGGTCACACTGCGCAGCCGGGCCTGACCCGGCCCGTTCGCTTCGGCTGTGAGGGGCTGCAGCGGGCAGCCCCCTTCTCTCCCTGCCGTGACGCGCCGCCCCTCCACCGAGGCGCCTCCAGAGGCCAGACCGGGCTGTCCGCCCGCTCCTTGACGATCTCAGCGCTGCGGACGAGCAGCCAGGGCATCCACTGTAGTGTTGCTTAAACGCGTTTTACTTCCTCGTCCTGCTGCTCCGTCCAGACGTGGGCAAACTTCTGAATTAAAATGTCCAGGGCTGAGATTGAAAAGGGAACTTACACTGAGTCCCCGGTGGAGGACTGAGTGAGGTTAGGGTGGCTGTGAGTAGAGAGGTGAGGAGCACATTGGGGTTAAAAGCCGTGGGGAGTGGGTCTAGGGAACGAATGGGTTTCCAGTTTGCCGTGACACGGAGAGTTCGCTTACCCGGGGGTGGCTTCTGCTGGTTGGGGTTGTCCAGGAGAGCATTTTTAAGTGTTTAGAGGTGCAGTCTGCAATTGAAAAGCTTAGAAACTGCTGTGATACTCTGAAATCTATTTCGTCCTGTGCTACAGATGCATTGCACCTTGAGGTTTGAAGTTAATATGGCTAGAGCAGCTTTTAAGTCTGTTCTTAGCTATTTTCTGAATCAGGGCGTTCTGCTGTGTGTCTCCTGTAGAATAACGGAGTATTTTTATATGTGCCTTGCTTTTTTAAATAGTCCATGTGGAGTATTACACAGGAGCCAGTTTTGGATGTGGGTGAATTCTTCAAAAGTGTGAGCTTGAGTTGCCTGCCTTCTTTCTGCGAAACCCAAGTTACTGCAGTTTCTGGACAGACTTTTGTGAAGTCTAAGGAATTATTCTGCAGAGGAAGTGCGCTTTTCCCTTCTTCAGGCCTATAAGAGGTGAAGGCTATTCAGTTATCATGGTTTAAAACAAAAATGGTTTTACTTCTGTTGCTGTCAGATAGTTTCAGTAACTTTAGAGCCTTTGCCTTCAGTTTGTTTCATTTGCACTCATTACATCATGTGAAACAGTGATTAAGTTATTATTGTCAGTTTCACCACTGAGGTCTCAAATAGCCTGAGGTTATGTTTGCTGGGATTTTTTTTGTTTGTTTGAGTTTTTTATTAGCAATTTCATTTTTATTTAGAAGTTTCAGGGAAGTTTTCTTTTTTACTTACATATGACTGTTTTTAAGCGTAATTTGAAAATCTGTTTCATAGGGAATACTCACCTGAACAGGATAGTCTAGGTAAGCAGTATGAATGTGTAGGCATTGATGTGGATGCATAAGATTTCTATATCAGTTTTAAGTGAATCTGTTATGTGCAGGTATTGGCAGTATAGGTGCTCTAGCTTTGGACAATAGTAGCTAAAGGAATTTTTCTCAGATGCTATCCTGTCGATGTTTAGAAATTGTCTTGCTGTAACATTCCAAACGAGCAAAACAGTTTTAAGTTTTGAGTCATATTTAGTTCTCCAAACTCCTGGGGTTCATACAGTGAAGAAACATTAAAAGTACTGTAGATTATTAACTGTACCTCTTACTGGGAAAGTAATTAAAAGGGATCCATAACTCTTGGACCTGTGTTTATCAAGATTGAGACACTAGAGGTATAAACCTACTCCTTCCTGTTATTAAATTTATCTGTTGTAAAGTAAAGCTCCAGAGAAATACTTTGTCACTTTTTGTATTCAAAATAAAATAGCAGATATAAATTTAGGCATGTTGTGTGCTTATATATATAAAATATACTTACATGAAGTGTTTGTGCACCCTAGTATAATTTATTTTTCTCCCTATGTGTGAGGCAAGGCATCATTTGCCTGATAAGTGTTGTGTTGTGTTATGCTACAGTGTGGTTTTGATTTCTTCTATTTTAAAAAGTTGCATGGAAAGAGTATATTGCCTTTCAGTAATCTTTCAGCTGTGATGAAAGCTATACTTATGTATAAAATTAATCTGAAAATACTCTTAAGTGTCTTACAGTACAGAGGCATAAAAGGGACACCACCTTAATGATTTCTGTAACATACACTTCCTTTCAGTGGACTTACTGTATGTTTCAGCCTCTAAATACTTTGAGTTTTGTCACAACTTTAACAATTTTCTTATAAACTGTTTGTTTCATGACAAATGGTGGCCCTTAGGAGGCAGAAAAGCAGTTGGGAGACTGGTTGGACTTCTGCAGAATTCATAAATGTTTCAAGAAATTTGGAATAATTCTGGGGAAGGACTGAAATAAGGCACACACAGGCCAGACACTTTCTGTCCAACCTGTCTGTTACAAATCTTCTCAATGAGACAAATGGTTATATTGATGTAAAGCTATGTGAGAAATAATATCCTATTAATTTTTGCACTGAAATTCTTCATGTGTCAAATAGCGTTAATCGAAGATGGTAAAATGATTTTTTTTTGTTTTGAGAAATACATATTTCTCAAAGCTATAGAAATCTGCTTAAATAGCTTGTTTTGAAAGAGCACAAAGTTGTTAGTATTGCGTATTTAAAACTACACTTAAGTACCTCTGTAGGTTGTTGCATTTTTCAGAATCTGAAGCTTTAGGTTTTGCAGTAATTTTCAGAGCAAAGTAGTGTGTGAAAAAGAATGTGACTGTTTTTGGAAATTGTCATCTAAGCCTTGCTGATTTTGTAGAATAAATATGAACTGATCTATAAGCAATAAAAAATGAAGCATTAAATTGATCTAGTGTAATGTGCCATGAGCTTGCTTCCTATAGCTGACATACTTCTGATTAAGAAAAGTGCGATCTCTTCTGATAGGAAGATTTCCAAAATACTCATGAATAATTCATAACTGTGAGTGTAAAATCCTTAAATGAGGTCTAAGGAGCTTACAAGGTTTCTGACCTTGGAAACAATCCAAGTGTTACCCTATAGAATCTGCCTCCGTATACTTTAGTGGCTAACGCTGGGCTATGTGAAAGTGTTGCCGAGTCTGATCTTCTGTGACTTCATCTCCTCCATCTCTTTAACATAATTGAGACTGATTAAGTTGTCCTTGAGTCCCACCTTGATACATCAGCTTATCTTCAATAGGAAAGTTCTTCCCAGTGGAAGTACTTCATCCCTTTTATTCAGAGTCCTTCTGTATCCTTATTTGAAGTGTTATCTAACACCCTTTTTTCAGCGTTTATAATCGATGCAGTTCACCCTTCTGGGTTTTTTACCCTTCTGGATTACCTTCTCTTTCCCTTTGAGATGTTGGATGGAATCTTACGTTTTTGTCTGTTGTTCCAATTGCAAGGAAATTAGCACACTAGAGAGTAATGCTCTCATTTAGTAAGTGAAATTTGTAAGCAGCACCTCTAGACAGCTTGTTATTTAATACATAAAATTAATCAAAGGATTTGGTTTTGTGGTAAAATCCATCTGTAATAGAAAAAACAGCCTTAGTGCTAGTGTACTGCAGTTACAGTCTTCTTTATTATACATATGTAGCACAATTTAGTTGGTAGAGTTTGTAAGTGATGCTTAGTTTACTGTGTAGCATAAACCAGAGGAAACGATATCACTAAATTTTAATTTTTGGTGTACTGCCATACTTTATTTTTTTTTCCCTAACACTTTTGTGATGTTAAATTTCTCCTTGCTTTTCTACAGCAAATTCTAACAATAAATGCTCAGAACTTGTACAGTAATTTGCTTTTTCTTTAAATGCTTTAGTCTGTTCCAACAGAAGACTGCTCTTCAATGTAGTATAATTTAAACTATTAAACCTTCTTATGTGTGCACTTATTCAGCACACACAATAGGGGATTAGCTGGCTAAAATAAAAAGCCAGAAGCTAGAGACCTTTGATACCTGAATAGTTTTGTTATAGTTGAACTGTTTAATATCTGATTCTGGCATTTTAGCATACTGTAAAAACATACAAAACCAACACTGAAGACAGAGAAGCAAAAAATCTATACCGAATTTGCACAAAATACACAACTGGAGTAATGCCCCCAAGGATCTGTCCTCCAACTACTCCATTGGTTGTATTTTTATCTATGACAAGTGTTAGGTTTGTTATGTTATTGTAGCCAATAGCTACCCCACCACCAGAACACAGATAGGATTGAATATTGCCTTTGTTTTTCTATGCCTGAACTTATAGGGGGCTGAAAATGTCCTATATTAGAAATTATATTCTCTACAAGGTGTATGCATAATGTTAATCTTTCCTAACTGACAAATGAATTTGTGAAAACTGCAGCAACAATAGAGTATTTCTTAGCATTGTACTTAAAGCTGAACTAAAGCTAAATTAGCATGCAGAGAACATCACACTTCAGTATGGAAAGTTTAGTCATGTATTTTATTAGGAGTAGTGACCATTTTATGTAAATTCTTATCCTTGCCAGCCCCTTAGTGTTGTAAAACAGCATCTTTACGTAAAATAAGTCAGCGCATTCAGGTAGATATAAAAGATGGTTTCTAAAGTAGCTTAGTTTTGCAAGATACCTTTTCCATAACTCAGTCATGTTGGCCTGTACAGGCACAGGTATACCAGTTTGTCCTGACCATTCACAGGGGTCAAGAAGTAGTTTAGGCAACTGGGATCAGAAGTTGCTGCGTTTGCAGCTGCTGTCTCCTTTGTCTGGAGGAGACTGTTGGATTCTTGTGTGCCACTTCTAAGCAACTCCTGCATGGCTAGTCATACAGGTAGTCTCTGGTCCATAATATAGGAGATACTAACTTGCAGTTAAATTGATTCCAGTGTTGAGATTCACACGAATTTTGGCATGTTTTCTTTCTCCCCAGTGTTACCTACCAATTGTCACAGAGGTCAGAACTCAATAATGTACTTCTACTTTCATTTCATTGCACAAGTTGCCTAGGAGATAGCTGGTACAAGAAAACTGGTAAGAGTTGCATGGTGAAGTTTGCTGATGTGCATGCTGTCTTTTATTTTTTAGTGTGAATGGGAGGTTAAAATAACTTCCTATTTCTTCTGCATCTGAGCAAATAGCACCAATTCAACTAAACATCAGTCCTCTCTAGATTGTCCTCCATTATGGTTTAAGTGTGGGAATTAATCTTTTTAGGCTATAAACTGGCGATCTTTTAAGCCTATTTTCTGCCTCTAGGTAGTGGAGACTTACTTGCCATTCTCCATTTCCATCTGATTTTGGGGAACAAAGAATGAAACAAAAATAATGTCTTGTCCCTGTTTTCTATGCTTGTATTTTGTTGTAAAACCAAAGAGATTAAGGATATTATTAGATTAAAATACTGCGTAGATGCTTCATGAGCAAATTTTGGACATAAGTAAAACAGCTTCTCATTGAGAATTAATTAACCATAAGTAGAGTAAATAAGATTTGTCATATACTTGAAAATTAGCATTTTAATTTAACAGCAAGGAAAATTTTGGCAAGGACATAACAAACAATCTA